CGAAGTGAGCTTAGTGGTCTACTTGCTAGCTTTGAAAGTGGTGAGTGTAATGAGACCCAGACTGTGTTGCCAAGAGTGGTTTGTGAGTACTCGGACGTCTTTCCCGAGGACCTTGTTAGTTTGCCACCTCACAGAAAGATTGAGTTCTCTATTGACTTAGTGCCCGGCACGGCGCCGATTTCTATGACACCTTATCGTTTTGCCCCAGCTGAGTTAGTTGAGTTGAAGATCCAACTCCAGGAGATGCTAGATAAGGGCTTTATACGTCCTAGTGTTTCGCCATGGGGAGCACCGGCCCTCTTTGTTAAAAAGAAAGGTGGTGCTTTGAGACTTTGTATAGATTACCGGAAATTGAATCGGGCTACGGTCAATACTGAGGATCTTCGATTGAGACGTCGTCATCTTGACCCGTGCATTCTCCTATGTACCGAATTACGAGTCGGTCCACTAGAGAGTCTACGATCTCTCAAGCGCATATGAGTGGAGAGTTGCGCCGACTAGTTCAGACCGGTTACAACTCACCACACATGGCGTCACTACCGCCGCTGAGTCCTCGGAAGACCTTCAAACGAAGTTCTCATAGTGAATGTTCCCACCTTCACTCGCCAATAGCAAGGGTTGTCAACTACCGCTGGCCTTGTGGTCGGCCTTCATCTGCTGACAAGTAAGCATTAGACAACGAAAGCTGCCACATCTCCTCTCATACCCCCGCTACCAAAACTGGCGCCCAATTCGCTTACATCCATTAAGTTCTCCCGGCATGCACCGCAAGACGGTAATGTATTAAACTCCCCAAGTGCATCCAAATTCCTTCCCTGTGTGCCTTGGGGTGGGGATGGGTGGGGGTGTTTGTTTATGTCGGGGTGGGTGCGTGCGCGAGGATGATGTGTGTTGTGCTGTAGAGGGTGGTGGGTGGGAGGTGTGGGGCGTGTGCGTGGGGGTAGGGTTGGGGCGTGTGGGCGGGCGTGGTGAGTTATTTGGTGGGTTTGAGTTCTGTGATGTGGAGGTCATATCTTCAATAACTCCATCCAGGGTGTGGTGTGCGTGGTGTGGGGGCGGGTGTGGGGCAGGAGTGTGGGCGAGGTTGTTGTGGTGTGTGTGGTGTTGGTGGTGTGTGATGGGGTCGAGGAGTGTTGGGTGGATCGGTGGTGGTGCTGGTGTAGTGTGGTGCTGTGTAGGGTGTGTCTTTGGTTGGTGGTGTGGGTGGTGGGGATGGGTGGAAGATTGCTCCAATCTTGTTGTTGGTGATGGGGATATTGTAGTGGGATGGGGTGTTAATTTGGTGTTTCGGTGTATGTTTTAAGTTGCTGTTTGAGAGTAGTTGGGCTTGTCGTGGTGTGCGTGAAGCAGAGGGAGGGCCGCGTAGGCGCGGTCGGGGTGAGTGGTGGCTGTGGGGCGAGGTGGAGTGGTGAGTGTGTGTTGAGGGATGGGAGCGAGTGCCGTGTGGCTGCTGATAATCAGCTGGAGCGGTGGTCAGCTCTGGAACTTTCAACTCCTTGGAAAGACTTTTTACCAGAGTCGTCAGGCTCCATTACAAACTAATGACTCCATTCCGAGTCAATCTAGTCACAAGGTGAAGCTAACTGGTAGAAATCTCCTATCACAAACGCGATAATTACCCATCAGCATACTTCAGACACAGCTGGGGATCTCAAACACACTCTAGGTCAGTATGCCCAATCGCACTGCCTTAGTACTTAGAATGTACTCACAGACACTCCTTCCCCAGAAACTACATATGCCTAAAATCTGACCTCCTCTTCTAGGCCAGTAACCTCACACTTCCCAAGAATTAGCATAAGCTTATGGGCTCTAGAAACTCAAGCACCACCCTCAAGTGTTCCTTGTGCTTTCCTCAGAAGTGTAGATAGAGATGGTCGATCCACGAAGCAATACAAAACGATCTATAAATTCCCGGAATATCGGGTTATCAAACTAAATACTGCCGGTGATTGGTGCAGGCCCAAATGGCATCACCATAAATCATAGTGGCCATACCGCGGTACGGGAATGCTTGTCTTTCGAAATGTCTCTCCTGATTCACATATGATAACGATCTAAGCTCCTTATCTTCGAGAAACAACAGAAGCCTCAGCCTGTATCGAACAGATATCTATACGAGGTGGGTACTTATTCTTAA